TGTAATTAATGGCTATAGACTTCCAGCCCATTGTGGTCAGTACTTCCTATTCTCAGGCCTCCTTAATACTTTGGAATGATTTACAAATCTCCAGATTTGAAACCCTGACCTCCTCTCAGATGGGTCCAGGAAAACACCATGCTGCCTGCCAGGTAGAACAGCTCCAGGCAAAGGTCAGATGAGGCTTGGACAAGAAATGTACAACCAGAGAGAGGATGCTGCATGTGGGATGCTTTGCCATGAATTGTCTCAAACTATGGACTTCAACTGCAATGTCAAGACCCCAACCTAAAGAACTCATCACTGGGATGGTGGCAGGTACTGTGACAACAGCCTGGGCATCAGTTTTGTGACAAGACAGGTAGCTTCAGGTAACTCTTGTTTCTTCACCCTGATACAAATTCTATGACTCTTTCTCTGACTCTGTTGATGGCAATTAAAATAGGAATAACTCAATGAGGGGAAAGTTATCATAATCATTAGGCCCTTAAGGAAATGAGAGCTACTTAGAATCCATTACCTGCTGTGGCAGGGCTGGTGGTGGCTCTGACTCTCCAGGAATGTTGTGGGTGGAACACTGACAGCCAAGGGCACACCTAGGCTGAGCTGAAACAGTCCCTGAAGGAGAGCTTTTAGAATCTGGGGCTGCTCCCACCAAAGTACATAAAAGTCCCGAGGCATCAAAGACCTTAGGGTAAGCCATTTCGATTTTCAGACACCCAAGTGAACCTAGCTCCACCCACATCACAGGAATGTCCCCTGAAGGCCAAGGTTTCCTTCCTCCATCTTCAGCTCACTCAATCCTATTCTCACCCCTCTCTTCTAGAATCCAAAAGGCCATGAGGCCTTGCACACTACACTGCTCTGGAATAATCAGATCTGTTATGGGGGGGGTTCTCTCCCCTCCTGCCTCTTTCCCTACCCTCCGCTTTCAGCAATTTACAGGCACCAAGACAAATGATAAGACATTTATTGAGTCATCTACAGCAGTTTGACATCCTTAAAATACCAGACAAGGTGTGAGCACAGCGTTAATGGAGGCAGCAGTAGCAGTGAGGTCCGTGGGATTTATCTTTATTGTGGGAAATTAAACCCAGACTGGTCCAGCTCCCATGAGTGGGCCTGGAGCTAATCTGGAGTACCAAGGGCTGAACCAAGCCAGCCCTGACATACGCAAAGCCTCAGAAGACAGACGGCAGACAAAATACACACAGCTGAGTACAGACACACCACAGGACCTGGAGTTCAGGGGGAGGAGAAAGAACGGGCATTTGTCCCACTTGAGGAATGTCCCATACCCATGGAGGATTCCTAGGCAGATGGCACAGAGGTGCTCACAGCACTCAGGGCTCTCCTCATCCTTACCTTCAACGCAAACTGAACAAAGTGATGAAGATAAAGCTGGAGATTAATGTCCACCCAGAGTCAGGTGGCCTCACCCTCACCCTTGGCGCTGGTGGTTTTTACAAATGGGGTAACAGTTAACCCAAGGAGGCTCAAAGCAGTAGACTGGTTGCAAGGGATATCTTTTGAGGATCTTCACCCTAAGAATGAGCACACAGCTGTGTGGTTTTCAGAGCTTGGAAACCTACAGGGAGCACTTCACTTCCACCTCATCCCTAGCTAGGGGGTAGATGATGATGTAACCATGGCCACACCGCTACACACCGCTACAGATTAGGGGTTGAGAATAAGTATGGAGACCCAGAACAGATGGAGAGGGCTAAGTTCGCCAGCAGGTATCCCTAATACCACACCAACTCCATTGCTTCTCCTGTACTATATAATGGACTCCCAGACTGTTTGGAGGTGCAGCCACTCCTGCAAAAGGTACACTCCATAGGGCTGCTTGGAGTGTTGTATCTGGCTCACACACAGGGCTGTACAATACTGGTAGGGCCACATTCTCATTTAAAAACATGCTAGTCCCACCTGGTTCCTCATGAGCCCATAGGGAAAGTTCACCCTTCAGATCTCCAAATCACCCCCAGCTCTAATAGTCTTTGAGTTTCCCCTTATAGGGATGAGTCAAGGTCAAACAGCAGGTGAGTGGCTAAGCTGGGGAACCCCAAGTCCCAGGCTTCCTGCTCAAGGCTCTTCCAGCTGGTTTCCAAGCTCCTTAGACTCAAGTGGTATTTGCAGTGTCACAGTTCTTGCAGCCTTCTCTTTGCAGGGGACAAAGGGTATACAAGGAATTAAAGAGTCTCTCATAGCTCTTCCTCCAATGAAGAGAGGGTACAGACGAAACCCGGTGCTGGGTGACAGGTGCAGGGTTATTTCCAGCACTGGGCCCTGATCAAGCTCCCAATCCCCATCCCCAGAGAAGACAGTCCGGGGAGATGGGGTTAGGGAAGGACTCGCCGAGGGCTCCTGAGCATGTCAAGGGGAACCTCACCACTGCACACTGAGAGAATAGTTAGGCCTTAAGCATGGTGGATGCCAAGGATAAAAACCACCGCAGGACCCCCCATCCCTCTGACTTCCCAGCAGCCTAAGCCTTCCCAGTGTAGATGCCCTTTTGTGAGGACTAGACCCTTTTTGACACTTCCTGTTTACCCTGTAGCTGGACAGTCATGACAGGAGGTGGGACAAGACAAGGGTGTCCTTCCCTCCTAAACAATGTGGTCCATGAGATTTAGCCTTCAGAGTTTCATAGAATAAGACCCCACTTCTCAGGAATGATCCTCTACAGGCTGGGTGCCCTTGGATCGACTCTGACACTGCCTCAGGGTGTCTAAGTCCATGAAGCCCTTTTCACCCACCAGACAGGATTCCTTAGTCAATTTCCCTTCTCTGGGTCCAGGCTGTATTACTGCAAGCCTTGCTTGGGGCCTGTTCCAAGAGAAGATGGTAGGTGTTTAGACAGAACCCCAGAGGTACACTGGGCAACACCCAAATCCCTAAGTCTTATTGCTTGCGCTATAGATGTAAGAGGGTCAAAAGGGAAGGGTTTCACCCAGCCTTGTGCTGTCCCTTGACTGCCTGTGGCCTGAGAGCCAGACCCTCCCAGAACATGCAGAATTCTTCAGGTACATCTGCTCACAAGACTAGCAAAATAATAATATCAATAATAATCCTTCAGACAGAAAAACAAAGCATCAGGAACCTGGAACTTCTAGGATGCAGGCCCAGGGCTCAGAAAGCAGCAGCAGGGGCTCAGGAAGCAGCGAGGGCTCAGGGCTGATCTGGTTTTTGCTGTTTTGCAGTGATGCAACTAGAAAGTCACAGTTTCTTCTTCCACAGTGAAGCAGACCCACTGGTGGGGTAAAGACAGAGAATGGGATTCGTAGCCCTGGGGCCACACCTTGGATAGAGGGTGCCACAGGCCACCTGTCCCTGCCCGGCCTAGAAGACTAGTTCTGCACATCTTATCTGAGGCCCTATTCAAATGACCATGGCCTGAGCTTTCCTTTGCTCTACAAACTTGCACTGCGCTCTCCAAATGGAAAATAAGCAGAACACCATTCCCCTCACCACACACATGCACGTGTATGCACACACATGTGTGCACACCCTTTGGAAGATACACAAGAATACATGTCTGTTTACCTGCCTTGGTTTTTAACTAACACCAAACCTGGAGAAGCACTAAAAAACACCTCATCTCACAAACAAGGATGCGTCAGCCCAGCACAGCACACATGCATTCACAGTCACAGCATTCTGAGTCAATAGGAACCCTGAACCACAGCTTCCTCTAAATAGCTCAGGCTCCCTAGAGGTGTCTAAAACACAAGCTGATCAGCTGTCTCTTGTTTGGCTGATAAGCTGGTTCTCAGAACAGAGGAGGAGATAGGGAGGGGGATAAGGTTCGGGGTAAAGGGTCAATGTATACCCAGTGGTTGGTCCAAGCCACCAAATATTTCTGGGAAGGAACAAGGAGGAGCTTTCCCCTTCTGGCTTTGCCAAAGATCCAAACACTGAATTCACTAGTCAAGCACACAGAACACATGTCTACACCGTATCAACTAGAACCTTCTCCAGTCTAATAATGGCTTCTCCAGCAACACTGTCTCAAATCTTCCCTAGCTCCTTCTACTTAATACAACAGCAAGCCAGGCATTCCCCATGCATTCCAGAGCATGACCATGAACAAGTCCACAGAGGCAGGGACAAAAACAAATACCGACATGGAAAGAGCTGGGCCACATGGCCCCATGGCATTACTTTTCTCCCTCTATCTTCCCAAATCTGGGTGTGGCCTTGTTTTAAAGTCTTAAGTTATGGCTGTGCCACCTACAGCTGGAGAGTCAAGATGGGCACTAGATAGCCACCACTCCCCCCACCTGCAGCCTCTGCTTATCAGCATGACAGACACAGCATCCCTCCAAACACTCTAAGAGGCCGACATGTGATTCAAATGTCAAGGGGACATGGAGGAAGTCTTGCAGACATCTGAGTTTAGTAATGGAGTCCAGGCTGGGGGCGGCGTCTACAGTTCCTTGTCATCAGTAGAAGTATAGCAGTGGGGATCCCTGGACCCAGGACTTGGCTTGTGGAAATTGAAAGTTGCTTCAGAACTCACTGATATCACTGCAAGGTGACTGGTTCATTCTAGACATGGCTTTGACTTCAGGGGAAATTGAGAGAGGAGAGCTAGGGGCTCTCTGTGGTTGGCACGGCTGGAGAACGGCTTCTTCAGACCATCCATCGTAGGCAAGATGGGTAGAAGTGAAGCTACCACACGATCAAGTCTTGAGTCAGGGCACAGTCGTGAACACTGTAAGATCTTCAGCCATCCCATCTCCTTCCCAAATGCATCTGCATTCCTGGCTCTCGGCTCTCAGATCAAATGAAAAGCACCAGAACATCCCCTGACCCTCACCCCACCCCAAATTAAGTCTTTGATTGGAAGAGCCCTGTAACCCTCCCATCATCCAGGCACGCAGGAACTGAGTACCTGGACAACCCAGATGTCAGGTAAGCAAAAGGAGCCTCAGGTTGACCCACTCCAAAGGATGCTCTGGCCACTGAGATGCATCCCTGGCTGACTGTAGGACTTGGTACAGGCTGAGAAGAGCCCACATCCAAAGTCAATTTAGTGAAAGGCTTCTCGGGTGGGCACTACCCCAGCCTCTCCAAAGCAGGCATTTTTTCAGCCTCAGCTCACAAAGCCTTGTACCTGGGATCAGACCATCACTGAGGCTGGCCTTGACACAATAGGTCAAGCTGGAACCTGGCAGAGGTGAGCAAGGGCATGGATTGGGGGAGAGAGATGGGGCAACTTTCCAAATTTGAGGTGTATTTACATGTCAAATTGGGCTCAATGGACCACAGTAGGTAGGACCCAAAAAGGAGGAGCAATATCAGCCTACACCCTATCACTCTCTTCCCCCTTGGGGAGGAGCCCAGCTTCCTACCCAGGGCCTGCCCAAGGAGAGAGGAGAGGTACAAACACACGCAGGCACTGGCCTGCAGCCCCAGCCTGTGCAAGAGAAGGGAGACAGGGCTCAGGTGGCCAAGTTGTCAGCTGGTAGGCTGGACATGCGGAGCTGGGAGCTGCTCTTGCTCAGAATGGACAGCTGGGTCCCTCCATTCACTCCGCTGCTGGCCAGGGATGGGTGCCGGTGCTTGAAGTCCATAGTGAAGTAACGGTTCACCTTCCAGCTCCGCCATTTCCTCTTAATCTCTGCCTGTACCTGCAACGAGCAATGTGTGTCCGTGACTTCCCGGTGAGCATCTTCTGTGCCTTGGCCTGGTGCTTTCCCAGCTGCTACCATGGCTATCCACCCAACTCCTACTTCCCAGCTGTATCCTGCAGCCTTGTCCTAGGGGCTTGGGGCAGCTTCCTGCTGTCTGGGCCTCTCAGAGACCAGTCCTGTGGAACTGTCAAAGAGAGTTCTCCTAGCAACCCTCTTGAAGCAAATGGATCAAATAAAGATCGTCACCCCTGTTGGTCACTGTGGGGTGCATATGAGGTTTACTCAAATAGCTTAAAATGTCCCTGATGCCCAAAGCTTATGAATGGTGATATCAACGTCTCTGGATAAGCCTAGACATCCACAGCTTTGAATGCTTCCAAGGTGAGAAGATTTCTGAGACTGAGAATTAGGAAACAGCCCATGCCTCTTGGCAAACCCCCATGTAGCTCTGCATATAGTAAATGCTGGCCCTGCCAAGAAAACATAACCCTCCATGTGCCACTTCAGCCAAGCACCTTTGTGCAGTACACAAACTGCATGACCAGGAACAGCATCTACACCCACTTTCTCCACTTCGTGCCTCCACTCCCTCGGCAGACTCCTGACAAGCTGCCCACACTCCCAGCTACAGATCTCCGAGGATCTTTGTGCAAGGCCTCTCTGGGCTCTCTTGATCTGTTACAGTCTGATCCAGGTTGGCCTTCTGGTCATGGATCCTTAGTTGTTTTGAGTCTTAGATGCAAACAAGAGGGAGAGCCTGATGAGGCCACGATCTTTCCACTAAGACTAGAGTGTTGGGGAAAAGACCTCTCTCCACTTGAAACCCCATCCTCATAGCCAGTCCCCAACACTACCCTGGCACCTCTATCCTGGGCCCTGATCCAGAATGTTACCCCAGAAATCTAGAGAAGGAGCCCCAAATGGTAGCTCTGGGAATGAAACACCTCAGGAAGACTTTAGGTTTCTTCTTAGGGCCTCTTCCAAATTCTCATAGGCTCTGTGCTAGCAGAGATAGTCAGGCTGGCTTACCAGAGCTCAGCAGCTCTACCCATCACAGCCTGCTAACCTATAGGTACTAACCCTGCTCACTGAGGCGTGTCCTGTGGCAAGAATGTACCCTGGAGTTGTGCTCTCAGCAGACATGACTTCACTAACTGTGCTCTACTCTGTCTTCAGTTTTGGCCTTAGTTGTAGGGTTGGAGTGATTCTGGAATGGGTGAAGGATTCCAGGAGATGTTGGTGCCACATAGCACTGGCATCTATGTCACCTATCCTCAGTACTGGGAACCTGAGAAATCCCATCTGAGGAATCTGCTCGTCTTTGCCCCTGCAAAGCCCACCTGTACTGCTAAGGAAGGTGGGAAAACTGTCTTACCTCCCCATTCAGGAAGCAGTAAAGCACAGCCACCACAAAGCCCTGGGGAGAGAACACAAGCAACCATGAGCCTACCAGCAAGGGACCTCCTGAGACACTGTCTAGGGTACGCCTGTGCAAAGCTCCATGGTAATGTGGAATGCATCCTACTCCACCAAGACAGGCACTTCCATGAAGCCAGATGGCTGATAGACCAGTCCCCACAGACAGACATCTCATCTTGGATTTCACATTCACGTGGCCAAATCCTTCCCATCGCTGAAGACTATCTTCAGCCCTAGGGAAGCCACTCACCCTTTCTAGAGGAGGCAGAATGTTCTCTGGGCTCTGCTACTATTCAGCAGGCTCCTGAGAACAGGACTCCTTTGGAACAGAAGAGACCCATATGATCTTTATCCATCACTAACCCTGCTCTGCCCTCCCTTTGCAAGCTGCTTCACGTGTGGCAAGTACTTGGCAGAGCACGGATTTAGCTCTTCTGCATGAAACAAAGCAACCTTTTCCTAAATGCTGGAAACCAGGTCAGTAGGACCTTACAACCCTGGGCTGTCATTTGAAAATGTCAAAGGACTGATGGCTTGACAATGCCAGCAAACGTAAAGATGGGAGCCTTGGGTTGTAATTCCTGGGTCAGAGCATTATCTGTAATGCTCCCAGCCTCACCAGAATGTGAAATCACAGGAAAGGGCTTTGAATTAAAATTCAAGGCAGTTGGGCAGAGTATTTTCTGACCATCAAACTCAAATGCCAATCTAAAGATGTGGCTTAGGGAGAGATGCCCCCTTTTGCAATACACCACCATTAGTGCCTGTACTCACTTCCTAGCTGTGATGTGTGCGCACATTATAGGCACCAACTCACTCCCGCTCATGCATTTGTTCTTTTCTTCTTCTTGTCCCCATAACCATTCATTTAAGGATCTGTCCAGGAACCTCCAGCTTGTTCAGTTCTGTGTCAGGCCCTTGACTGGGCTCCCCTGCGCCAGGGACTCAAGGTAAATAAGAGAGCTCCAGTCTTCACGTGGCTGGAGTACAGGGCTGAAGTTAGGATGTGGTCACAGCACAAGGGTCTTAAAGCCATCCATTTTCATGGGCTTTATAGACAGCTTTTATCTCAAGTATCTCAGGGTCAGTATCCCCCGGCACAGTGACAGCCAGACTTTGTTGCATCACAGAACAGCAGAAAGAACTGTAGGGAACTTATGCTCTAGTACTCATGTCAGAGACAAGCACTGGGGTTAGAAGTCAGGATTCACAGGGTTATGGAGCTGTCAGCAGATCAGAGGTCAAGGCTTAGCTTCCAATGAGCTATGCCCTCTGCATGAATCATACCTACCTGGAAGGAGCCCAGTCCAAGCTCAAACACAAGTCTTTCCCTCTTGCTGACATTCTCTGGAGAGAAGGCGAATACCGTATAGTGGATTCCAAACAGTGGGATGAGCAGCAGGGTGGAGCGAGCCAGCCGTCTGTCAGGAGAAAGTAAAAATCTGCTCATGGGACTGAAGGGCTTGTGGGCAGAGAGGGCAGAGGGCCTGTCATCAGCCCTGGGAACCCCTCAGTGCCCTTGTTCACAGACTTGCTTGGCATCCTTCACTGGTGCAAGTGGACTTGGAGTAAGGGAGCCAATTAGAGCCCAGAGTTCCTAGGATGTTGTAAGGAGGCTTCCCCAATCTACAGGGTATCTAGCCAGTATCTTGCAAGGCCACTGAAAATGTATCATTTATAGGGTCCCTTGCATAGTATGTAATTTGGAAGAAAATTCAGGATAGGATCCAGTGTCTTGAGCCAAAGTAAACCAGTCCTGGCTCAGAAGGAAGCCGCATGACCCAAAAAGAGCTGCCTGAAGACCCATGGAGATAGGGCTTTTCTGAGTCTGAGGATAACTAGGGACACTTGAGAGCAATGTTGATGACTTGGAGGAAGGGTACTAGGTGGACCAGAGGGGAACACGGGATGGTTTTAAGGAAGGACTTGCTGGCTGGGCAGAAATTCTACCTGCACAGGAGAAAGCTGCTCCCCAGAAACTGAGACAAAGGATGAGGTCCACCCTGAGGATGGGTCAGCAAGAGAGCACCCCATGCCTCCTGGGACCCTCTCCTGCTCTTAGCTCTTGTGATAGAGCCAAGAGTAGGGCAGGACCCTGTCTAGCAGTACAGGGACAGAAGAGGTCCTTCAGGCACACGTGGGCTGGGAAGGCTGCACTGGAGGGAGTAAATTCCTACAGGGGCTTTCCAGGGTGGGCCCCATCTCTCCCCATCCCAGGACACTGGACCCCTAGGAGTCTCCCCAAAGAGCCCAGCTCTCCTCTGCAGATGTTTTACCCTGGGACCATCAGCCTCACCCTATCCTGTCACAGCTTAGTCCTCAGAAGTGGACAGTAAATATAAGGGTGACCATTTGACTGGGAGCAATTCTACCATGTGCCCCTCATCTCCCCCTCCCAATTTTTCTGGAAAAAAAGCATTCCACTGAATGTCAGACTCCAGATTTCTAGAAAAGCCAGATCTCTAGATTCTGAATAAGGTCCTTGGTGTCCCGGCTTCTATGAGAAGGAAGACAAGAAGGAGGAGGGGGAGAGGAAGAGAAGGAGGGAGAGTAGGGGAAGGAGAAATGAATAGAAGCTTGAGGTGATCTTTAGGAGAAGGTTCAGCCCAGAAAGGAAGGAGCCCACAATTGTGGGGCTCACAGTGTCCACCTTGCTTGAAGGCAGCATGGGGCAAATGGGATGTGAGTGAATCCCAGCAATGAGCCCACCTGGGCTGCTAGCAGTCCTTCCTCATTGCTGTCTATACCCGGTGGCCCTGAATAGGGCCCTCTTTTATCTGTTAGATCTCACAGCACGTACCTTCAGGCATATAGTCAACACTGGAAATGCCTGTTACATGGAAGAGCAGCAGGGCTGCCAGGCACACGAGCTAGTCCTTAAAACCCAGTATCTCCCAGGAACCAGGTCCCTCCTGCCTCTCAGTGCCCAGGATCTGTCACCAGAAAGCAGCACCATGTGTGTGGGAACAGAATGGAAGTTGGAGGAGCTGGGAGCAGGTTAGGACCCTGTTTTTCTCCTCCAACTTCCCCTCTACAGTGGGCCCATTCCAAGTTCTTGCTCCAGCACAGTAAAAAGGAACCCGGGAACCAAGATGCCAAGCCTCGCCAGTTTCACAGTAGTAGTCCATGTCTTGGGTTCAGGCTGAGAAACTGACTTTCAGAAACAGTGTCAGACCCTTCCCAGCCACAGGGCAGATGAGGGGCTGAATAGATAGTTTCCCAGAGTGTGGTCCAAGAGCTGTATCTGCTCTCCCACAGCTCTGAAGCAAGGATGACAACTGGGGACTCAGAACACCTCAGGGGCCCTTGGCAGACAGGGCAGAGGTGACAGATGAGAGCCTTCATAAACCCAGTGTGTGGAACCTGCAGATGTCTGAGCTGACTGTGTGGGAATGGGAATTCCCAGGTAAGCTATAAGCCGTGAAGTGTAATTAACCCAGAAAGGCAGTGACATAGCCTCTACCTCTGATCTCTTATCCTGAAGAGTCATCAATTGGAAGAAGAGTCCTACAGTCCCAAGAAGAGTTTCTGATGCACAGGGCCACCCAAACTATCTGTGGGTTGCCAGGAAGTCCACACCTCCCATTGTGTGGGTGTCATGGGTGACCTGGGGTATGATTCTTAGGATACTGTAGGTTCCAGTCCTTGACTTCCCAGTCATGTGACTTACTCAACCTCATCATGCTCCGATTTTCTTGTCTATAAAATGGAGACAGTGCAAGAAGCCACCTTACAGGATCCGTGTGAAGACTGAACTCAGCCAAGTAGCACATGGGCTCAGCAACTGCCAAGACTAAAGCCCAGAGAAGTGGGGATCTGAGGAAGGACGTGCTTCTGTAAGAAGCCACTAACTGTAGAATGAGGCAGGCATCAGCAGTAGCCACCAAGTCAAGAGATGCCTGCAATGCCACAACTCTAATATCCACAGGCCCTCCAGCCCCACCCACAAGACTCCAGAGAACTCACGAGACACATGTCAACATGCAACAGCCAGGAATAGGGCAGGCTGGGAGGCTCTCGGCACTCCTCCAGCCTAGCAGAACACAGGCACAAGGCGGTGGCAGCAACAGCAGCATGCATCCCCCACCCCTCCAGGGCACCCGGCCACAGCCACGGCCACACACACTTACAGAGTAATGGTGGATAGTTCTGACATCTTGCAAGAGTGCTGCTGAGCCCGCTGTGGCTTGCAGTAGCATTTCTGCACGCAGCTGCTGGGTGTGACAAGATTAGCACTTCTGTCAGCCGGGGACATTGGGCAATGACGAAACTGCAGTAGGACTTGGGAGGACTTAGTTCACAGGGCACAGGGAGGGCAGAGAAGTGAGGGAATGGAGACAAGCTAGGAAGTCACTAAGAGAGAAGGAGGAAGCTAAGGACTAAAAACACAGTCTGCTCTGGACAAAGGAATGCATGTCCATTAGTACATGTGTATGCGTACGGTTGTCAGACCACACACACACACACACACACACACACACACACACACTCTGTGGCCACTAGTAGGCAAGTCATATTAAAAGGCAGGTGTGTTCCGGAGATAAGACCTGAGCTGGGAATCAGACAGGGAGCCAGAGGCCATCTCTGTGTCAGCCCCATACTGACAGCATGGCTTTGCCAAGGTTACCCGGTAAGATAAATGGCTGGAAACTCGTGCTGTGAACCTCAAGCACAGCTGGCAGGAGATAGAGATCTGGGCTTGTTAGCAAAGATCACCTTGGGTGTTCTGACCATCTCTTCTTTCCCACCCCCACCTCCTCTCAGTGTAAGGACACAGGAGAGAAGCGTCAGGCCAGACTTAATGGGTTCATTAGTCTAGACCTGTATTTACCTACTAAGGTAGCCACTACCCAGGTGGAACTCAAATTAAAATTAATTAAAATCCAATCAAATGAAAACTCTACTATCTCAGCAATCTAGTCTCATATGGCTAGTAGTGACCACGCTGGATACAAAAACACAGGACATTTGAGGAATTCCACGGAACAACACTAAGCTAGACTGCTCCATCCAGGTATATGGACAGAGGCTAAAGGGCAAAAGCCTGCGGAAACAAGAACCTTGAGGAGGCAGCACAGGGGCCAGGCCAGGCCGGCTGTGCACACTGCTGTCCCCAGTCACAGAGGCATCTAGCTACACTTCTTTATCTGCCGAGTCTTTCTGGTCCTGCTCATGCTTGAGCTGGCATAAGCCAGGGACACTAGTTTCCCTACCAGAGACTGAGAGTCATGTCACCTAGATACCAAGTTACCTCCCCATGGAGGGCTCTGGGCACCTCAGACTGGCAAGTGAATGCATTGATCAGGTGTGGACTAGACGCCAATGAAGACAAGCATGCAGGAACAATTAGGTCCTTAACACTCAGAGACCTGCCTTCTGAAGCCAGCTGAGAGTGGGTCTAAAGGCAGCTGGAATCTGGAGACATGTTACTCTGCTGAGGCAAGAACATGTACTGCATATTTCCAGATGAAGCAAACCTCAGCCTTCCCAGCAGGCTGTTCCTCTCCAGGCCTGTGGTACTTATTCAATAAATGGCGTCTTTTATTTCATATTACCTATGAGGTGGGTGCTGTAGTCCTATTTTATAAGTGTAACTTGATACCTTGCTACTCAAGAGGTCCCCAGACCAACTGCAGGAACAGTACCTGACTGCATATCAGTAATTTACTATGGTGCCACTCTGGCCTACTGACCTGCAGCTCAGAAACTGCATTTCAACCTAAGCTTGGGCGTATAATGGAGAAGCACTATTGCAAGGTATTCATGAGAAGTTTCTTGTGTGTTCCTCAGTAAATGACAAAGGACTAGACCGTGTGTGTGTGTGTGTGTGTGTGTGTGTGTGTGTGTGTGTGTTTCTGTCTGTCTGACCGTCTGTCTGTGTCTGTGTGTACAGAAACAGAGAGATATCAAAATAAGGAAAATAAGGATCTCCAGGTCTACAGAACAGTGGCTCTTCCTGCCTTGTCTTCTCCCTTGCCCAGACCAAGTGGCTAAGAACCCTCAACCCTGGCTGAAGTAGACAGGGCCAGTCTAAGACACTGAATATCCACATATCTGTTGCTCAGTTTCAATCACCTTGAATTCCAAGCTTTAGCCTTTCTCCCCAAAACTTCTCCATTCCCCCCAAAACTGTCCCATATCCCTCCCTTTTGGGGATCCATGACATTTTACAGAAAACAGACTCCTTTGATTTTCCTTTAAAAATTCTTGAAAATAGCAAAAGGACAATTTAGTGACATTTTACCGGGATGGGTGGCCCTGATGGGAGAGGAAGATCAAATCCAGGAACAACAAAAGCAAGGGTGATATCCAGAGGGCTCTCAGGGGAGACTATGCCGAGAAAGAGGGGAAGAGGCCCTCTCCCAAATCTCTGCCCCTGGCCTGTGGTGACTTGCAAACAGACTCACTGAAAAGCAACAGGGTGCGTGGAGGCGGAAGAGCTGACCAGAGAATGAGAAAGGCAGTATGTAGGTCTCCCAGGATAACTAGGCAAGAGGGGAGAAGGGTTTCATCTAGAGATACACCCAGGCCAACTTGGAGGGCTCCCCACACACAGAGTCCAAGGAAGCACAGGAGACTCAGTAGTGTGCTGGGTGGGCTCCCCCAATCAGAAGACAGAGACTTCTCATGGTAGGGGGGAGTGGTTGGCCTATGGGAATTTGTGCCCCCTCTGCAAGTCAGGGAACCTTGGCTTCTAGGTCCAGCTCTGACATGACTTCTCTTCATCTGTGGGAATGTCAGGGCTATTCCAGGCACTCGGCTCTCACATCTATCCAGGGAAATGGCACACAAAATAGCATGTTTTGTGTGAGGGTCTGGCTGGACTGCAGCACCAGGAAACATCCAATAGGATACTAGACAGACAGCTATCTATGCCCTGTGCAGACAGCACTCCCATCGTCTTCACCTCTGAGCCTAAGAATCCATGCACTACTACTGCTTCCTTGGCAGTCTACAGGTGATGGTGGTCTCCAGACGCTGAGCTCACCTGCACCTTCAGAACACTGCCCAGTCCCCAGGAAACATTCTCCAGAAATAGCATCCCTGCTAGAAGTATGGCTTTTCATCACTTCCTCTTCCAACAAGGAGACACAATGAGCCTGGGATCCCAGACAGCATCCACACCAGGCTCGAGGCTTTGTGGCCACTGACTTGCTGGGTGGTTTTCTTTTCCTGGGTTTCTCAGGATAACAGTTTCCCCAAACCAACCCTTACAAAACTCTGGGGCACATGCTCATTGGCAGGGAAGGGTTTATGGAGTACAGGGACTGGAAGGCCGTAGCTGTAAGTCAAGCCCTTGTCCGATCATCCTGATTGAAGGGCTGTCTGCCCACACAGAGCCTGTCCTAGGAGGTGGTGGAGAATCCCTGCAGGGGTGGGGGGTGCACATAGGTTTTCCCTCCCCATCTCAGACCTAAGAGGTAGCTTCCAATGCCCACCTCCAAAAGTAGAGCCAGTCATGGGCACTAAGAATGAAGCCAGGCCACATCATGACTGGACTGCGCCATTCCTTGCTCATTCTGAGTCTTCCAGAAAATGTCCTTCTCCTCCACCCTCCAGAGTCAGGGAGCTGTGCCCAGCAGAAACTCAGGCTTCAGGCCAAAGCAAACCAACCCAGCCCCGCCCAGGGGTGAATGCTTGCACAGCCCTAACCTAAGCCCCTGCTGACCCTAATACAGTCCCAGGCTTCCCTGCCCTCCATAGGGCCCCACATCCGGTAGGTCCTTCAAGGTTGAGCCAGGAGCATCTTGGTTGACAGTGGACAAACCCTTAGCATCTGCACAGCTGGAACCAACCTACAGGAAAGGGGGTGAATGCTGGTCTGAGGGCACAGGCAGGGGGTCCTCTCGGGCTTTCTTGGGGACTCTCAGTCTTAAATTTGTTCTGGAAACAGAGGAAAAAACCAGAGAGCTGTTGTGGGCAGATGAGAAGGGGCTTTACAGCAAAATACACACATGTGGGATCCCAGGCACAGCCCTGGAATCTCCCACCATGCCCTGCCCTCCCCAAGTTCTCCCTCCTCCCCAGTGCAGGCACCTCCTCCCCTTAGAGCCAGCTTCCCTAAAGCCCTGGGAGTGGAGTAATTTTGGGGGGATGTCTGGAGCCTACCAGGGATCTTCATCCAGGAGGACTTTGATTTTACAAACTGGCTTAACCCTATCTTTTACAATCTGTGGATTCCCAGGGACCAGGAAAGATGACACAAGCCAGCTCTGGTACTGACTGATTGCACTGTAATCACAGCCTAGCCTCTTCCTCCTGCATTCACCAAACCTCATGAAGCACTAGTGTCCTCCACTGTAGAAGGAGCTTCTAGTTAGGGATAGCCTGCCCATGTTGCCCAGCTGTGCCTGTGAGCATCAGCTGTGTGCAAGTGTTTCTTCACGATCTGCAGCTCTCAGAGGCTTTGTCACCCAGATCAATGAGATCTCAGTGACCCTGGGAACACTCAGACACAGAGCTGAATTCAACAGGATCAAGCTGATCCCTTGTCTAGCCTTAGCCTTTCCCTGGCTTACAGACTTCATCCACATGATTTTTTAATCTTTGACACTGGAGGCAATCATAGGTTTAGAATTTTTTTCTACCAAATAACACTGGTCAAACCTGTAAATAGCTGTTTTTACACTAAGAAAGCAAACCAACTAGCTGCTTCTTCAAAGTTCTGGATTAACATCAGAATATAAGTATAAATATAAATATATACCATGTGCTAACTACAAGTGGTTCTTATCTATGCATTAGGAAGGCCCACTGTTCTTTCCCATCAGGCCATGGACAGTGTTGCTGTCTGGGGCAAGGCATTTGATATGGCAAATGTGTGATCAGTGTTCCCAGTGCATCATTGTTTACTAAGCCCGAGCCCTTGTGTGTATCTCTGAAAGGGCAAAGTAGGGAGAAGCAGGAAGGAGCTTCCCATTCAGCCCAAAGAAGATGATTCAGAAGAAGAAGATGTAGATCTGACCAGGAAGAGGAGGAGACTGAGAAAGGTTGACAGTGCTCAGGAGGGAATGAGGTTAAATTAGCTTCTCACCAGCTCCAATGACAAGCGGTGACAGTCAATAGGGGAGCCAGTCTACAAAGCAAGCAAGAGAAACTGAGGCTTGGCATAGAGACGTGACTTTGGCTTCCTACATTGGACAAGGAGGTGGCAGGGGGGAGAAGGGGGTTTTTTTGTGACTCCCTGAGACAAGGGCCTCTCTCCAGTACAGGGCAAGAAGCAATAGAGCCTTAACAAGAGGTCAGGGCTTATATCAATAACTCCCTATTACATCACAGACACAGACAAGGAAATGTTGTTTAAAAGCAGTAAATAAATAAATACATAAATAAATAGCTGCCAAACATGAAAAATAGACAAGGGTGCTTAATATATTAAATAATTGTGACAAAAACATGAAACAGGCAGGGGGAAGGCCGTAAAATAACCACAAAGGTGTCCTTTTTCAATGTTATGTAGTTATTTCAGAGGCAGAGAACAAGCAGTAAATATTAAAGTCCCTGTGCTAACTAACCACTGGCACAGGGATACAGTGGTTTCCATCTCCCCCAAAGGAGCCTTGAGGAGGGCCTGGGGCTCAGCCTCTTTGCAGCACTCCTTAGCGTTCTCCCTAAGAGAACGGCTGGTAGAGCCATCTGCCTCCCTCTCTCTACTGTCCCCCTCATGTTTCTCAGGGAAGCCATCAAGGTTTCGAGCCTCAGGTTGGATTCATAACAAAGACCCAGTGATGCTGTGAAGTCCCATGGCCGCCCTCCTCTACGCTGGGCTGCTACTATGTCCCTCCCGGGCATCAACCTCACAGAGCCTCTGACCTTTCTCTTTAGCATTAGCGGTGTCTCCACACGCCACACCCCATTCCTGAGCCCAAAGGGTGAGTCAACCCAAGCTCCGTCTGATTTCAGAATGGGAAGGGGTTGGGATTGGGGCAGCCATGTGTTTCTAGAGTAACGACTGCAAAACTATTTCTCGGAACTCAAATGTCTGTAAGTGTAGTGAAAGCCTTGTACTCAGTGCCTCGATGGGGGACAGAGGTGGCTGAGGCAGAAGATCAGACAGACACAGAGGTGGACAGAGCTGTTCTGAGGGAAGGTGGAGAGAGAGTCCCCATGCAGAGGATGACCAAGGAGAAAGTCCCCCTGCTGACTGCCAGGCACTTGGCAGTTTCAGCATAGTGGATGCAGGGGGAGTGGCCTGTCCCAGCCATGCCTCCAATCGGTTCTTCTTCCCACAGAACCAGCATCCCCAAAGGAAAGCCAACTTCTAAACAACCAAGACCCTAGCTACCCCAGGGACTCTGGAGTTCTTCACTGATTTTCCTGCCACCAGAGGCTCTGTCGTTCTCTCTCTCTCTTTCCCTTTCCATGCAATGCCGGTATAGCTGAGGAGCTCTGCATTGGCTGAGGCCTGGGAGGGCAGCTGTAGTTCACAGGCACTTTAATGAGGAAGATATCTTGCAAACGCCCATGCTAGGTCAACCTGCCAGCAAAGTTCAAGCTCTGTCCTGCCTGTGACCCCGAGTGCAGGCCATGTGGTCGGAAATGGCTATGGCATCCACATATCCACATAACATACTTACAAGTAGATGCTGGACTCGTTGCCTCCCATGTCTGGGGACTGCAGCTTCTGTACAAGGATGATGATGATGCCGATGAAAAGCACAAAGTTAACCTGAGGAGTGAATTAAAGGCAAACTCACATCTCTGTCCAGCCTGGCATCCTCCCCCCTCCCAGGACCCTCTCCTGGCCAGGCGAGCTCCCTTGCAGACTTCTAAGTCTCCCACAGACTGAAAGAAAAATACAACAAGAAGAATTCTATGCAAAAACCTGGAAATAGAGAGCACAGTGAGTAAGCCAGGAGGTGGGCACTGTCTGGGAGAGAGAGAGGAGAGAGGACTAGGGTGACAAAGTGACTGAAGAGGCGACTGCACAGGTGACCCCGAGCTCAGCAGATGGTGGGGATGCAGGCCTGTAATCCCAGGGCATGCAAGGCCTAAGTAGGAAGATCGTGCATTCCAGGGCAGCCTGGGATATACAGCAAGATCCTGACTCAGAGACAGAGAGGCAGAGGTGGGGCATGGATGGGGAGTCGTGGAATACAGGAAGGCAGCCTCAGCGTTCCTAATTAGAGGACTGCCTGGGAACAGCAATAGCAGCATGTGCCTGCCATCAGGGACAGATGCTCTCCAAACAAAGTGGGAAGCTGCGTGTGTACTGAGAAAGGAGGAGGAAGGGCTGCAAATAAATGCAAAGGAGGCACAACAAGAAGACAGCACGGCACAGCGACATCCCTGGGCCAAAGCCAAAGTCGCCGTAAGAAAAGAACAACACGATTCTATTTAAAAACAATAACAGCTACTGAGAACAACTAAGTATCCAAAAGCTGGAGAATGCTCTTATACAAGAGAGAATACTAAGCAGGTAAAGAGTCACGAGAAAGAAACCAGAAGCGAGCAATAGGGGGCTTGATCAAGAAGGATACTGTTTGCTCTCTTTGTTTCACAGATCAATTAGAACAAGAAAGCACACCCCTGCTCTCTGCCATGCTTGCTTCTGCTTCTGCTGCTGTCTAATTAATGCTCAAGCTAACTCAGCAAATACTGCTAAGGAGAAAGTACCATTAAATATCTAGGAGTGAGAAAGAGGACAACACAAGAAAGAAGCAGACATTTTCAAATCCTGAGAGAATGTTGACCAAAACCAGGAAACTAAAATGAGCAAGAACAACTCACTAGAAAGTGGAAGGCCTGAGAAGACCAATAAGTTCAGAAGGAAACTTAACAATAGGCAAAAGTATATGCATTACAAAGCAATAGGCCCAGGTAACTGTACAAACTTGCGAAGAAAATGCAATTTCCCTGAAATGTAATTGCTTCTGAGCAAGTAAAAACAAAATGTCAAAGATCCTGCTACCAAATAATAATAATAAAATAAAGAGGAAGCAGAGGGGTAGCTCAGCCAGTAAAAACTTCCAAGCATAAGGACTAAGTGTGATCCCTAGAACTCAGCTTAAGAGAAGGGAAAAAGGAAGGAAAAGGTAGGCGTGGCAACATGTGCTTATAATCGGAGGGCCCAAGGGCAGACACAGGCAGATCCCAGACTGCATTCCCAGGCAGTGAGAAACCCTTCGGAAAAACCCAAGTGGGACAAATTCTGAAGAATGACACCAAAGATTGATCTCTTCTGACCTTTCCACACACGGGGGCAGGGACAGCCCCCCAAAAAAGCTGAGCATGGTGACGCAGACCTACAATTCCAGAACTTAAGAGATGGAAGAAGGGAGACCATGAGTCTGAGGCCAGCCTTGGTTATGCAGTGAGACCCTGTTTCAAAAGCAAAGCAAAACAAAAGCCAGGCAGGAACAAAAACAAGCTGACACTGACATCTAAGATACATGGAGAACAATGGAAAGTCTTTAAGGAAAACATTAACAAACAGAAGTTAGTGTTCCATGAAAAGAGCAAGCAGATCATAACCACAAAGATTTCATCCTAGGAATGCAAAGAAATGTACAATTATTCCTTATGATGACAGATTAAAAAAAAAAAAAAACAAGCTCCATCATCCCTGTGAGACTGGCAAATTAATTAGTAATAGGAGCATCAGCATAGAATGGGGAGCACGGGAAGTGAGCATCCTTGCTCCTTGTCCTTAGCCATGCGAAGAGTAAATGCACACCCATTGTCCCAGAATCTTACTCCTAGTGATTTATCCCAAAGACATAAGCACAGGTGCTGAAAGCCAGATACAAATGTATCCCTAGCACTAGAGAAAAACCAGACTAGTATATTATTCTATTCTGACATAGGGCATGGTCTCTTCAGCACATGTGATCAAATACCCCTGCTTAACTTCATAACAACACACACACAAAAGCCAGCCAGGAAGAAACCCTTGCCCAATTGCATGCAAGGCAACTGCCAAAAACTAGAGCAAACATTGTCCTCTATAAAAACAAGGAATAAAAGGAACATTGGGAAAGATGGGCAAAAGCTGTTTTCATTTACAGGTTGCATAATTTTCTATGTAGAAACCCCGTATGAACCAAATAACAGGGATTGAACTCATGAGAGAATTCAAAACTGTAGCTAAGGCAAGAAATCACAAAAACTGATCACTTTCCTATAAGACCCCAATAACACATACTACAATGAAGGAAAGATTCCTAGACTCAACCAAGGCCCAAGGCAGCAAGAAAGATGCATCAGACAGGGAATTTTGTCCTGTTCTTGGAGAAAATCAATTTTCCCCCAAACTGGTACATAATTCAATGCAGATCTCCCTGGATCTTTTCTAACAACTTAGCAAGGATACTCAAAATCTACCTGGCTAAGTGAATGTGTAAGAAATGTTCAACAGAACAAACAAGAAATTTACATATAAGGAGCTAAAACATACAGGGTCACAGTAGCTGGCATAGCCACCTGGACAGGCATATGAGTAGCACAAAGGCAAAGGTCTCCAACTCACAGTGCGTAGGTATTTGTGATAAACAACTTTTCACAATATAAGATTCTGTAAGAAGACTGAGAATATAATATAAAAGTAGAAAAATAAATAGCATTTTTAAAAAGACAAAAAATAAATACAACATTTTAAAAAATACATTGATAACCTAAACCATAACCATGTAGTGAAGCAACTAAGAGGAGATTGGTTGCATAGCTTAAGCCAATGGAAATCCTCCTTATATAAGAACTAAGGTTGGGGGTCATAAAGATGAAGCCTGAGGACCCCAATGCATGGAAGTCACACTGTCCTGAGAACATGACAAAGTACCCACTGATAAAGTGTCCACTGATAAAAAACCATCTGCCAGAGGACAGACTGAAAGAAGTTCACAGGAATATTCAAAATAAGTACAAGCCACCAAAAAGTTGTTTAGAAGTAAGGACTTGGGCCCACCAACAACACAGAGAAACAGACATGCCATTCAGAAGCCACCATCACCCTCCCTAGGACTGTGTACCATCAAATGACTGGTACAGGGAGTGTTGGGGAACAAAACCACCAGGGGGGGTGTGACTTGTTAAAGCATTTTTGCAAAATGGTGAAGGATCTGAAATGTTAAATGTACACCCCTTTGACCGGCAATTCCACCTTAGAGATTCATTTTAAAGAAAAACTTAAAAATGCTCAAAATTATGCATGAAATTATTCCTAACACTTTTCATAATAATTAAAAATGGAATAACAGCCTAGTCCAACACTAGAGGAATAACTTAATAATTTGTGCATCAGTGCTACAGCATATGATAAGGCCGTGACAGAGCTCATCTTCCCTCTCCTATATTCTCTTTGTCTGTCTCTCCCTTCCCTTCTTGTTCCAAGGACACTCACCATTATAGAGCCAACCACAGGGCCTTTGATCACCCACCACAGAGCTGTGCTGTCATTCATGTCCCAGCAGCTAAAAGGCAGGCAAAGAGGAGAAATTATAACAGACCCCTGCAAAACACAGTTCTAGCTGGGAGCCTGCAACCCTCCCCCCCCCCCAATACTCCCTGACCAGGGCAATCTTGAAGTAGAGTTGGACTGGCTAGAAGGATAGCCCTCACGGGAAACTTGCTTTTTCCCTCTGCTCCTCTGTCATGGCAGAGACTGGAGCCCAAGAATCAGGATCATAGTGGGATCTTTGGAAGGGACATGTATCCCACTGAGCTCCAGGGTCCTTAGGATAACCTTGGGGTTGAGAGGGACCTCACCTTCAACATTCTTCCTCCTTCTCTCCAAAGGATACCAGATGGGCTCAGAAATGTACCCACTCTCTTGCTGGAGTGTCACTTAAGACAAGGCTGACCGCAAGGGTGACACTAAGTAGGAGCCTGGGACCAGGCTAAGGTCTGGGGCTGAGACAAGACTGATCTGGCCAGGGCTGGGTTTTATTCAGAACGACATGTAGGGAGTGCATGTGAAGCCAAGCAGACACTGGAACCCATGCCTGAAAATGTACTCTGTGCTGCAGCCTCATTCTGGAGCTGTACTCACCCAGCGTCATCGAAGTAGAGCCTCAGCACAGCCCACACGGTCACACACACAGTAGGGGTCCCTGGAGAACAGGAAAAGGAAATCCAACTTGCCCAGGATATTCTTAGCTTTGGGGGGGGTGGGGGTGCGGACATGGGGGTCCAACTATCTCTCATACTTCAGGCCATCTGGTCTCCCAAGATGACCCCTGGGTAGAGCTCTCCCTCAGAAAATGGGGTCCCCCAGGAAGTAAGTATAAAAGGAAATGGTTCTAAGAATTAACGAGAAACCCACAGCCTTGGCAAGGGCTCTGTCACCTGATGTTTCTAAAAGCTGGGACCAAAGACACAACTGACCAGAAGGCCTGAGCCCATGTGGACTCAACCAGTGACCTACCCCAGCCAATGATGGTGTACCAGTAGAAGTATCTCCTCTCAGGGAAGAAGGTCTCCACCAGCAGTGTGAAGAGGTACAGGCCTTCGATGAACAGCCAGAAGTAGTTGGACACCACGCAGTAGTGGAAGAAAACCATCACAGCTTTGCATTCCACCTACACAGACAGCAGAGGAAAGGTGAGCTCTCTGCCCTGCCCCCAGGTAAATTCTGAAATCCAGTTCCACAGAACAAGGGGAAATCCCGAGCCTATCCGCACTGGCCCGCTCAGCCTCAGGTACCCCAAGGACCTAAGATTATAGGCGTTCCTGGATGGAGGAGGCAGAATACACAGCATCCTAGGACTCAGGATAACCTTCTCAGCCAGGAACAAAGTACAAAGACAGGTGATAACAGGTTAAAGCTCCAAGCTCCTCTCTCCTACCCTCTCTCCCTTGCCCAGCACTGTAACCAGGTAAGTAGGAAGAGAAACAACCAGCAGTCCCCACAGGACACTGCTACAAAATAAGGATCTGGACACATCGCAGGTAGAGACACACACCTTGGTCCTGGGAAATCTCTTCTCAAACAGATTCTCAAACCAAGCCCTCCCAGTGAAGCCCCCAAGCCTAGTCTGTTCTTATCCATCCTATTATAAGCCGATTCTTTGCATATACCTCCTTCACACATCTGTGCTGGGGAAGCATCTGCAAAGACCCCGGAGAGGTGACACACAGATTTCCACATGACTGGTTACATAGTGAAGGATTGGGTAAGACCTGTCTGAGCCTCATTATCACATGGCATTCCTGGTCCAATGTCCAGGCTGAGGGCCTGTGGAGCTGGATTTTTCATTGGGTTCTAGCTCACAAATAATGACACAGAGACTTATTATTCATTATAAAATCTCAGCCTTAGTTTAGGCTTGTCCCACTAGCTATTATAACTGAAATTAACCTGCTTTTATTAATCTACATTTTACCATGTGGCTTTTTACTTTTCTTTCATTCTGGGTGTCCAACTCTCTCCATATCTGCTTTGGGTCTCCTAATTTCCTCTTCCTCTTTCTTTCTCTCCTTAGAAATCACACCTTTCTAGCTATTCACAGTTCAGCTTTTTACTACACCAATCACAGCAATACAAGTACATCACACGATGTACAAGTGCCCCGCACGCCTGATTGTGTTTTGGCTGGGAGAGAAGTCATACACTGGCTACAGTAATCACTCCATAACTCTTGAAATTCCACATGACTGGGACGAGGCTTTCACCTGCAGGGACACCTTCCCTGTAGGGTGCTGGCAGGGCAGAGTCCTGGGATGTCTGGGCTGCTTGGCTCACTTACAGTGGAGATGAAGCAGTGACTGCTGTCCTGCTCGGCATACAAAATCCAGTCTTTGATGAAGACGGAGATGGCCCTCAGCATGAAGGACACAAACAGGTTCATGTGGATGAAGTTTCGGGTGCAGTGCAGCTTCCTACATGGACCAGGATGGAGAGGCCATGAGCGGCACAGCATTTCACGTCCTCAGGGGGTGAGGCATCTGCTCTGGGTCTACTCCTGGCTCATCTTTATGGGGGTCCCTCTCCCAAACCACCCTCGTCTCCCACCTCAATAATCCTCTGCTTCCCCAGACTTCTCCCTCCTACAGCCTCTCTACTTAGGTCAGGGAGATTAAATTAAGCAAAGGAGACTTCTGGAAGGGGTAGTGCCCGAATGTGTGATCCTGGAAACATGAGCTGCCCTCTCAGGCCACCTTCCCATCTGCTATGCTAGAGATAGGTCCTGCCATCCAAGGACACCCAGGGATGGTGGGAGGTAAGCACTTTGAACAGGATGGACAATTCTGGCTATAACACTTCTGGGCTCTCACCGGAAGCGGCACAAGATGACCATGGCAGTGGTGAGGGTGACGAGGGAAGTGCTGTAGCCAACTGTGTAGAGGGCCTTCACCGACAGGTAGTAATAATCCTGGAGCAGGGCACAGGACATGCAGGGCTCCACTTAGGACCAGCCACTACCCCCTAGACCCACACGCAGTGTCCCAGACCATCCCTCTCTGCCATCACTCCACTCCTGGATGCCCGCTCCTGTCTGCAAAAGGTCAGTACCCAAAACATGTTTAGAATATTGAAGCAAGGGCCCTGATCAATCAGAATAGAAAGCAGCCTTAGCCACCTGAAGAAGGGTGGAAGAAACTCCCTGCTAGGCCAGTATTGGGCCCTCGATTGCTGGGCTATATGGAGGGCAGTGTCCTGAAAAAGTAGCCCGGGTTGAGGGGACTTGTGGTAGGACAGAGCCCCAGCAGGGTGAATGAACACCCTCCCCTCCATGTTTCCAGCTCATGAGTGCACAACAGGTGCTCATGAGTGCTCCCCGGAGCCCTGAGCTCCTCAGAATCAGTATACAACAGGTGCTTGTGTGTGCTCCCCAGAGCCCTGAGCTCCTCAGAGCTAACCCTCCATCTAGCTTACCTGATCCCCAGACTCGGGCTCATAGTCATCAAATCCGCAAGCATCGAAGTAATGGGGGAAGGGCTCTGACCAGCCGTCCTCCGTGCAGTTCCGGCCCACGACCCCCATGTCTGCAGAGAACAGAAAGCTAAGCAATGTGTGTGAATGGCTTCAAATGACGCTGAAAATTATTCAGAGTGGGAATTCCTGAAAACCCATGTGTTCACCTGGAGGCTCAAGCTAGAAGGCCCAAGATTGAGTGATTGCTGAAAACCTGGCACTCATCTTTCATTAATGACGATGGGGACGTGGGGGTAGGATAAATGAGCAACCTGATCCCTTAACCTAGAATCCAGCATGCCTGTACCTCTTCTGGAATATTCTGAACCACTTACCACAAGAGGATCTGGAGCCTGCCCCTGGGCCCTGGATCAGCACTTCTCAAAAGGTCAATGAGCAGAAGCACCTAGAAACTCATCACAAATGCAGCTTCCAAGTCCAACCTCAGCCCCAGTCCCAGGGACCCTAACAAGGCATCCGGTATATTCAAGACCTCCTTGGGTGAGTGTGAGGTAAGGATTTGGCACACATGAGCACAGAGCTCTGGGTCTCCCAGCAGCTGGAACCTCTTGCACTTATAGGGTACCTGGCTTTACTCTTTTGGCAAGCCCAGGCTTACTCTCTCTCTCTCACTTCCAACCTTACAAAGCTTGGTGGGCCTTTATTGTTTTGTTGCTTTCTTTTTGCCTTTCAGAGTTTTGTAGTCTGTCTCCTGTCGTCAGTGCGTATTCATTCTCTTTTCATTGACTTTAAGGCCATTGTGTGGGACGCTGGAGGCACAGAACAGTCACAGCTACTGAAAGAGGCATTTGCTACCTGCAAAGCAGAGTGTAGGCTATTTTTTATGTGAGTGGGTTGCTTCAGCCTTGAATGACATCATGTCATTTTGAGCCTGGGAGAGCCTCTAAGGTCCAGGAAAGCACAAGGCAAGCAGGCCTTTTCTTCCAGCCAGCACCATACACTTGTCCCTAGCTGGCAGCTCAAGAGTTACCCATCTCTTAGGAAACATTGAAAGGAATAGGACTTGGGGTAGTTTTAAATCCCCAGAGATGGAACAGAGAGGTTCAAACTTGAGTTGTACACCCTGGTCACTTTGTGGGCTTGGTAGAGCACAGATTCTGGGACCTCATCCTGCACTCTCTGATGTCGTCTATGGGTTTCAGAGACCAGCAACTTGAGTATGGTAAAAGACCACTGTGGTCAGGGAGTTTGGAGCACACACTGCTGGGAAGGATCCTGTCCTCTGTGATCAAGGTAGCCTCTGGATAGCTCAACAAGGAGGTGATGGATCAGTGTGAGGCAGAAGGGAGGGGGAAAGACCCGTCACTTTTCTAACCAGCATCTGTTCTTGAAGGTGTAAGGCCAGTTGCCTTCAGCCAAGAGCGTTGGCCATACCCTCCCTAGGATTTGGAGGAATGGGGCTGGGAGGGATGGCAGAGCCATGACCCTGCCCAGAAGAATAATCTACTCCGAATGGGAGGGTCTCTGCGGCTTCTCTGACACCCATGACAAGCCAAGAAGGGAGTCCAGCAGGCCAGGGACTTCACACTTAATGTTGTCACCAGATTGTCTCCTCTTCTGAAAAATGTGTCTCAGGCTGCTGCCGCTAGCAACCTCCTCTCAAGGCTCTTGAACAGTTCAGAAATTCTGAATGCCTTCCCACCCTACCTCCCCTGGGAGCCAGATGGCCAAGCCACTGCCTCTCTGGGCTTTGGTTGACTCTGCCTTGCCTATCTCACAGAGGTAGGAAGAAGAAAGGGACTAAAGGTACAGAGGGATTTGAAAATCAATTAAAAAGAAGGCTTCCTAGAGGGAAAAGCCATTTCCTGTCTTTTATTTTCACTCTTTATTTTAATAACACGATGTAGGCTCAGAAAAACATAAACCTTTCTCTTCCCAAAATGGTTCTATGAATATTGTTCTGATAGAAATCTCCGGAAGATGGGAACTCTCCAGATTGTCACAACCTCACAGTGACAGCATCTTTTTCACTAGGTTGTTTTGCTCCAGCAATTCCGTAGGAGCACAGCACCCTCCCTGATAGGGCCCCACCCTATCAACTGGAGACTGGCCATGCAACTGGCCCCATTCCAGGTAGCTACATCAGAGACTGGGGTGAAACCCCAATTTGCACTTTCCCAAGTCTGAAGAGAGCGGGAATGGAGGCGGGCTGCATCTTACCCAGCCACCGCACATCTCTCTGGCACACAGCCCCTTGCAGCTCCAGTCCCCAGCTGTGGCTGTGGCTGTAAGGCTATGATGCTCAGACTGATGCAGGTGACTGGAGTGCAAAGCTCAAGTCTGAGAACCTCTGTGGGAAGTTCAAAGCCACCAAAGCCTTGTAATGCAGAGGCTCCACACTCGAAATACATGAAGGGCTTCAAGACACCCCTAGCTCTGCGCCCCGCCCCCCATTACATACCATCTTCTCTCTGGGGACCTAAGTGCCATCTTCCAAGGAGACAACACTCAGCTTTCTCAGAGAAGCCACACACTCAAGACAGGATAAAGTCCAGCTACAAAGCCTGTCTCAGAGCTCTCACAGCAGCTGCCCTCCACCCACACCAGCCCAAGGCAGCTCCAGCTCCCCACTTACCTGTGATTTCCAAGGAATTACTATCGGCAAAGCCAGAATCCCCTGCAAAACACAAAGATGGGTCAGAATGCGGCATTTATCAACTGGCCCCATTATCCAAGGCTAAGGCCGCCTAGTCTGCAGTGAGCCGGGTAGGGATCAAGAGGCTGCCTCACACTGAGCAGCTGCACACCCCTCTGGCACACACCCTCTGGCAGCACCAACCTCACAAGGGTGGCACCTGTGTGGCTGTGATGCTCAGAGTGGTCCATGGCTTAGTCACCACCAGAGAGCCTCCAGGGTGGGGAAAGGGGAGTGGATAAGCCTGGGGCTTGGGGTTTCGTTCTCCAAGTTCAACCTCTAATGCTGCTCCAAGTCTGTTTTTTAACCAAAGGGACTGACCCCCCAAATCCCAAAAAGTTCATCTGCAGTTTTCTCCCATCTTCTGATATTTGTCTAAGGACGGGCTACAAGTTAACCCCATTTCCTCTCAACTTTTAAAAATCCATTTCTAAGCTGAAGTGCCACCTCCTTCAGGAAGTCTGCCCTGACCTCTTCCCTGACCCCTGGGTAATCTGCCCTTAATTCTCTTCTGTTCTCTTGCTCAATGGGTACCTTCCCACCTCCCTGCTGCTGGAAGGACAGTCTGCATGAACTCACACACAGGGCTAGCCCACTTGTAGGAACATGCAAGCACTATGCACACACTTGGTTTCAACCCCTCCATTGGTGACAAACTCCTGGTCCAGCTTTAAAGGGCTTTGAAGCCAACCACTGTGTCCTCCATCTCTCCTAGCCTCCATGACGGCCAAATTGTGGGGAGGAGGGAAGAGGCTGGTCCCCGATGGTCCTCAGTCAGGGGCATTGGATCTCCTAAGGTTGAACTCCTGCTAGGCAAATGGAATTCTGTCTGTCCTCCCAAGGGTTCTCTTACCTATGGTTTCTGTCATCCAAACTGGAGAGAGAGAGAGAGAGAGAGAGAGAGAGAGAGAGAGAGAGAGAGAGAGAGAGAATATGAATATGATTGCAGAGGTAAGCAGGGCTGAAGTAAGGTCTGTTCACACAAGGCATTCTCTCCCCCCAGCCCCCCAACTCTGAGAGAACTCTGCTATGGTCCTGAGGGCCTGAGGATCCCATGTTAGGACATAGCAGGATCAGGAGTGGCTCTAACTCCACCCCCAGGTCAGTACCTGAGGAGGAAGGGGAGACATTGGCCAGGGCTCCCACAAAGCCAGCACCTCGGGAAGGCCTACCCAACACCACTGTCACTGAGCTTCCCATGAATGAGAAAGCAAAGAGAGACTACAGTTCCCTCCCTTCTGTGGGGAGGGCAGGTCTCACTACCAGGCTTGTGAACAGAGGTGCTAAAGGCCCTGCTTTAATGAACCATTAGGAGCCAGGTGTAAATAACATTCCCTGCTCCCTGAGGCGGGTGCAGCTGAAGAAAATCACTTTACCCTTATTCCTGTCACCTCTTGTGGCTGCTACTGTTGGGGGGAGGAGAGGTTTTGTGGCTGGAATTTTGCCTAGGGAGGATGCTCCAGAAGCTTCAACTAACTAACTGAAATAAAGCAATGGGCAGCTCCTGGAGGGAGGGATTCAGCTGGCTTCCACGGGAATAAATCTTAGTAGCCAGGCCCTGTCCCTGACAGCCTCCATTTTCCCTCTATTCACTCTGCCTCTCTGCCTAGATCCTCCTCCAGAATTTACCCTCTGGCCTGCCCTGGGGCCAAGCCCTCAGGATAGGAACATTCAGAAAATAGCCTCTTCTGGGCTAGCAGGAGGTAGACAAGATGTGGGGTAAAGTGAGGAGGGCTATATAGATAAACCCACCTTCTCTGTGCTCTGGATGGGAAACCAAAGATGGAGGCTCAGGACCCCAGAGAATACCACTCTTTCTCTCCCTCCTCCTGCAAGCCTGGGTGGAGGCAAATTATTGGCTGTGGCCTCCCAGAAAAGGCCTGACACCAGCTCCATGAAGTCAGGCACACTGGGGTCTTGTTTTGGGGCAGAGTATCTCCTTGCTCCCTGATTCACATTTCTATATACAATATCACAGTGCCCATTGGATCCCAATTTGACCCCGGGAAGTCTACACATCATTTCATTGGTACCAGATCATGAGCAGACACTCCATGTGAATTCCACGGAACCCTCCACCCAGCTTTGGTTTCCTAGCACAGGCCATGTGCTGGCTTGTCTTATGTCAACTTGACATGCAAACTAGAGGTATCTGAGAGGAAGGAATCTCAATGAGAAAATGCCTCCATAAGATCCAGTGTAAGGCATTTTCTTAATTAGTGATTGATGGGGGGGACCCAGACCATTGTTGGTGGTGCCATCCCTGAGCAGGCGGTCCTGAGTTCTATAAGAAAGCAGGCTGAGCAAGCCAGGGAAAACAAGCCAGTGAGCATCACCCCTCCATGGTCTCTACATCAGCTCCTGCTTCCAGGTTCCAGCCCTGCTTGAGTTCCTGTCCTGAATTCCTTTGGTGATGAAATAGCAATGTGGAAGTATAAGCCAAATAAACCCTTTCCTCCCCAACTTGATTTATCAGTCATGGTGTTTCATTGCAGCAATAGAAACCCTAACTAAGACAGACCATCACACACATATCACTGAAGCTACTGTCCACATGTCATAGACTACTTCCCCTGGTGTCCGAGGCCGTTTCCTGGACAGCTGGGGATAGAGGAGCAGGACTCCAACTCCTCTTCCCTGAATCCTCACAGCCATCTGAGGGCAGTAAGGACCAGGGATATGCTTTGCTGAGCAAACGGGTGTGCTGGTGGGCTGTCAGGCTGGAGGGTTGGGTTCCTGTCCACATCAAGTGGTTGAAGAATGTGGTACAAGTGTCTGATCATAGAGCCCCATGCATATATTCCTCCAGGCCTCTGTGGTTTCTCCGTGGCTATGTCATCACCATGGTAACTGTGACGATGTCAGCTAACTTTACTGCTGAATATGCAAAATGCACTAGGTGAGGTGCTACATAGCATCTCTATAAGTGACCTCACTTTATCCTTACAAACCATCTGAGAGACAGCCTCTGTGTCACATTACCATCTGCTAAACCAAAATTCTGAGGATGGCCTGCCTTGCTGGGGGTCCCTAATGGGAAAAGGATTAGAACCCAGATTGCTCTCACCTACCAAGACACTCACCTGGCAATGCATACCTGGCATACCTGGAGAAGCATTTCCATGCCCTATACCAACATGAAGAACACCATCCCATCCTGTCTGCCATCTGCCATCTGCCCATCAGGTACTCTTGAGCTCCAGGCAGGGGTATGGCTTTGTGGATTACAGGCTAAACTAACACAGCCGGGAGAGATTCTGGGCTCTATTTACCTTGGTCCGGGTTGAAGATCCTGAAGACCTCAGGGCAGCTCACAAGGACCATCTCACCTATTTGAGCAGGCTTCCAACATGTGATATTGTCCCACATGCCAGGACAACCTGGAGGAGAGAGCTACCATGAGAGTATGCCTCGCCATATACACACCATGTGCACACGCATGTACACATACCACAACCAAACACAAACACACCATACACATCCCACATATGCAGGTGCACATACACACAACATATAAGATAGATGTACACATACATGCCCCTCTGTAATGGTTCATTTAAAACATCAACTTGATTTAGGATCACCTAGGAGATAGTGAGGCACTCCTCTGGTGATGCTGAGGGCATCTTTTGAGAGGATGAACTAAGGAGAAAAGATCCACCCTGAATATGGGTGGTATTACCGGTGGGTGGGCTGGTATCCTGGGCAAATTAAAGGGAGGAAAGGAAAAGTGAGTGGGGTGCTAGAATTCCCCATTTATTTGCTTCTTAGGCACCACACATAAGCTGAGCTACTCTACTGGGCCTCCCCAACCACAAACAGAACTCCCGAAACTGTGAGCTAAAATAAATCTTCCCTTTTTATTTCTATTAGGTATTGCAATTTGGTGACAACTGATAAATAACAGCCACACACCATACACAAGTACCACACACAGGCACACACACACACACACACACACACACACACACACACACGTACACACACTTTGCATGAACTGCTCAGAAGTTGGCCCTTGCAGAAGGCAAACAGTTTACAAAGAGAGAAGGTAAGTCTTCCTGTGTGGGAAAGGCTTGTTCCTGCACCCGGAAAAGCCCCCCAGGATTAGTTTGGAAAGACACTGTAGGAACTTCAGAGCAGGATGCTCTGTGGAAGGCCTTCTTCTCCATGCCACAGTTTGCCAGCTACCTGCCAGACACCTGCATTCTCCTAATCTCACCACCAGTGTGGGATCTGGCAACATATTCACCTCCACAGTGAAGCTCACTCCTCCATGGGTTGAGGCCAGACCAGCTGGCCTGAGACTGAACCCCGCAACCCACCTCCTTCCCAGCATAGGCCTGGAGCAAGAATCTGCCACACACAAAGCTGCCCCCCGAAGTGAAGCCACAGCTTCCCCAGCTGAGAGGATGGAAAGTATCCAGACAGAAGCATGGAAGTGACTGTAGAAAGATTTGGTACAGAGAGAGATGATGGAGGCAGCGTCCTTGAGGAGGCCAAGGTCAGAGTCTTGTGGTGGGGACCGGCTGGCAGAGGGGGAGGGACAGGTACACAGCGAGACCTAGGAATCACCAAGTCTTGCTTGAGTGAGCGGTGAGGAAGAAGAGTATTCCAGGCTCAACTGGCTCTGATTTGGGAGGTTTGGTGGCTCCTGAGATCCCCCTGTCCTTCTGTGCATTCTCTCCCCGAATGGCTACCCTCTCTCCCCACCCCTCCCCTGCACTGCGGCAGCACTCATCAAGGTCAACAACAACTCTTCTCTGCCAAATCCTAGGAACAATTTCAACTCCAGCTGGGCTGTACTCTGCCCACCTGACTGGCTACAGATTTGGGAGACATCCTGTCTTGGGCCACCTGCCACTCACCTTGGATGAGCTCACCCTGCTCAGGGCCTTCATAGAATCACATGTAGACATTTCTAGTCCTTGGCCTCTAGCCACTCTCTGGGCTGACCCCAAGGTTAGTTACCTACTGGATTTTCCCACTTTTAGGGGCCAAAGACAAGCCAAATGCGGGGAGTTCTGAACTCCACCCAGACTCTCCTACTAACGTCACATTGGTTTCAGCCCAGCTCGATACCTGAGAGTCGCTTACTGCATCTCCATCAGGTACAGTATCAAGTCCTTCTTGGTTTCCTCCAGACACACATGGACCCTATCTGCCTTCACTGGGATCACAGCCTCCTCCCAGATCTCCCTCAGCTAGGACCAGAATCTTTTCAAATTGCATGGCTTGGTGACTCCCCACACCAACCATTAAGATCCCCAACTCATAAGCATGACACCTGCTGTCCCTGCCTACCTGTCCCTGTCCCTACCTGGCCTGCCAGGCTTACTTCCCCTTTAGCTTATGAGTGGCGAGGAAATGTCTTCTTGGTTGTGAGCCTGGCCTTTAATGGCTGAGCCGTCTCTCTAGCTCATGAGTCATGTCTCCCAAGGAAAGGATGTGAAGAAGAAGAAAAGCAAGGAGGAGGAAGCCCCAGGATACCACACTTAGGAGTTAACAAAGGAAGCACGCCTAGTGACGCAGTGGAGAATATATACAAAAGTGCGGAAGGGGGGGTGGGGAGGGGTACAGAGCATGTCAGACAGCAGCAGAGAGCTTCGGGAAAGGAACCTGACCTTCAGAGGGTCTACAAAGTGGGAAAATTTCAGTGTCCCATAAGGGAAGTGAGTGACTGGCCACGTCCCACCTCCCAGGACTGCTAGGGGGACTAATGAGCTCCTATACAGAAAGTTCTATGATCAGCAGCATGCTGACTTCACGCATGTTGGTTGTCATTAGCCTTAGTTTTATTATTTCAATGAGATGCTCCTGGGAATCACTCCCTAGAGAGGCAACCCTGCTGGAGACATAGAAACTCAATGACCAGCTGCTGATAGACACAGAGCAAACCTGAGCAGGCAGAGCCGTGGCCTGGGCAGGATTCCTGACCCCATGGCTCCTCTGTCATAAAAATGACTTCTGGCAGCCCAAGACAGTCTCAGCTTATAGGTCTCTCAGAATTTAGACCTTGCTCCTTTAGCACTCACACTAGTGACACTGGCCTGTGGCATCCTGCTTATGGAACGACACCCTCTGGGAGCTGGGAAAATTGTTAAAGCTCTATATGCTGAGTCCAAGTGTATAGACACTCAGTGAACCAACTGAGGAAAGCTATCTATGTCCTATCAGGCCACTATCAATGATTCCTGTCCACCCAGGATGTCTCACCAGCACCCAATTGTCTGTGACATCGTGTCCTTGAAAGAGACCCAACAGTACATCTTTGGCTGCCATGGCCCACGCTAACTGTGAAATGCCCGTGAAGCACGGCCACGTCTGGCCCATACCCCAGAAGCCCTGGCCAGCAGATGTTCTCATAATTGGAACATTAGGCCCTGGCACAACCAGCTGCTATTCCAGCTGACAATTCTGAGGTCAGGGAGCCACACAGAGGGCAAAGATATGAGAGCTGAGGGGCAAGGAGTGGCAGCAGCCAGTATCCTGAGTCGGGGATCAGAGGGGGAGGCAGGATAAGTGATACATGCTCTTAGAGTTTTTTCATTGACTTCCCTGTGTCAGGTGTACATGAAGCTCACAAGAGGACAAAGCTGTAGGAAGGGCAGGGAGGGACTCCCTTCTGCATCTGCCTAGAAGAGCCCAGATTTACATGTGGTCTCCTCTGCTGTGACTAACAGACCAGTGTCACAGCCAGGGCCAGGTGGCTATCGGTACCCCCAACTAAGAGTGGCCAGAGCTAGGATCTGGAGCAGAGATTTCAGGGACTGTCTGCTGCCTCAGAGATGACAAGAGCCACCAGGACTACTTTCTGATGTATCTACCGAGTACCTTCCCCAGGATTCCCAAGGACCTACCTGTCACAAGCCTGGAAACTCTCCCAGTCCTAAATTCTGTCCCTAGTTTTGTCTTCTCATGAGGCCAGGACAGCAAGAAAATGCAAAACAAGATCTCCAGGACCTCAGGACCTATGGGTGTGTGGGAGGCACACACCTATAAAAACTGACCACCTTTAGACAGGACAGGAGGTGGGCTCCCAACAGGGCCTTTAGGTTTTCTGGCTAGGACAGAAACTATGTCCCTGCCATACACACAGAACAACACATGCAGTTTCCACAGCTCAGCAAGTTAATTTTGGTGGCAACTGAAGCCTTCACAATGCCTGTGCTCTTACACCCCCCTTCTTTTATCCTTTCCTCTCTCCCTTTCTACTTCTCCTTCTCATTTGCTCATTAATTCAAAAGAGATTAAGTGAAGACACAATGAATTCGGAAGTACAGATGAATCAAAAGCAGCCAGTCTGGGCCTCACTGAACTTACAATGGTTTGGAGTACTATGCTGAGTGAGTGTTATGCTAGTTTCCTATTGGGGCTGGAGGGTTATATAAGGGAATTTAGCATCTTTGGGTGGCACAAGTTGCTATCATACCGTCCTGGAGGAAAGAGGCCTGAAATGAGTCTCACCCGGCTAAAACTGGGCATCAGCAAGACTGCTAGAGGTTTGAGGGGATGAGCCTTTCAAAGATCCCAAGTTCAAGTGGTCACCAGTGTTCTTCGGCTTTGCGGTCCTTCCCCCAAGCTCCAAAATTAGGAGCTTGGCATCTTAAGCTTCCTCAACTCTCCCATCTCTCCTTGTTTTTAAGGGCTCTGATGATCACTCTGCATTCATCCAGGTAACCCAAGGTGCTCTCCCTATATCATCAGATTATGTGCAAAGTCCCCCTGTCAGGTAAGGTCGCACATTTGCAGGTTTGGGGAGCTGAGAGGTAAGAATTGCTCTCTAGATGGTAGCAGGGGATCTTTCTGTGCCTTCCATAGAGAACTTTTAAGATAAAGTCCAGGTGATTCAGAGAGGTGCACAATGGCAAGAATGGAGCAGAAAGCCATGCCAGGATATGGTGGTATCCCAAGAACCATGAAGGGGTTTGATTCAGAGTAATAGCAGTAAAGAGGGACAGGACTGTGTAGGACCGTTTAAAGACAGGAACTACAGGGATTGTGGCAGACAGGGCTGGAGTATGGCATAGATGACTAGTGCTCTCCAGTATCATGTGACTACTACCCTGAACTCTAAGCCCTTAGGAGGTAGAAGAGGTGAACCAGTCTCCAAAGCTACCCTCAGGGCCTCTACTACCATTCTCTCTCTTTCTTCTTAGCCATACCCTTGAGACCACATACTGTTGTGTAATGTTTGTTTAACTAGTCAAAGCTGCATTACATTTGTTTAGGCTGCATTTGTTTAATGATGGAAAGATGTATTGCTTTGCCTGCCTAAGGCACCTGATTGCTCTAATAAAAAGCTGAATGGCTAATAGCCAGGCAATAGAGGGATGGGGTCCTGGTGGGCAGACAGAATAAAAAGGAGAAGGAATCTGGTTTG